CTGTGAGCTGTTTTCAGGTAAACTTGCAGCTTTGGGACAAGTGATTCAGACCCTGGGTCTGTGTTGGAGCAGACGGGAGTGTCTGGCTCAGCAAGACAGGTGCTGGAGTCCTGAGCTGGCAGGGAAAACAGAAGCAGGGGTAGTCTTTGCACATTAGGTCGCAGCTCCCAAAGAGGTTTCTGTGATCCAACCCGTCACAGCAGGTTCTTCAAAAAAATAATGAAGATAGGCCTGTGGGAATGGGGAAAATATATTATTAATTCAAGCTATGGAAGAATGCACCATGACAAAGCTTGAGGCAATAGATTCTAAAACTGATTTGGTTACCTAGTGCTTTGATAGGCTTGAAATTAAAACTAGAACAGAAGGATGCAACTCATTGAAGATCATTTATTACTTGTACAAGGTGTGAAAGTCCTTGAGAGACAACTTTAATTAAGGGTTAAGGGCCAAATTAATCTCTGGTGTAACTATTGTAGTCAACCAAGAAATTAAGTCTTTCAAACTGCTGCAGAGGACTTAAATCTCCATTACAATGTACAGGCTGTACCTGCCTGTGCTGCACCTCAAGCAGCATTTTCAAGCCAAATCCAGAAGTGGCAACTAGATGTTATTAATTAGTAATTGTGTTTATTATGATCGTACCCGTGTGGTACCTACCACACACTCGTGATCGGAAGTTTGCCACCACTAAACTTGCCACGTAACGTAGGCCCCCATTCTTCAACTGACTGTATGCAGGCATAGGGGTCTAACCACTGAGCTAGTTGCAAGATCAGAGCCATATTGGGCAATAGAGTTGTCAGTACTTGCCAGTGGTTTGTGTTGTTACCCACCTGTGGGAGGAGCATGTGCCTCTCCCACTCACTTATTACTTGGTGCCACCCTCTACCTTCAAGGGTAGAACATTAAGTGCATAAAGAGACTCTTAGCTAGATCTTCCTCCCTCCCTGCTTTGTCATTTTTAATCCCCTTGGAAGGCGACATTCCATCCCCACCGCTCAAATGCCCTCTTTTCAGGATTGCCAACTTTACAATTTACTTCTGTGGGCAAAAGGAAGTTTGCCCCATGACTAGAAGCATTTTTAATAGGTGAGTATTTGGGACAACCAAGTTATCTGCTTTTCTTCTCTAGCACAGGAATTTACTTACCTGCTCTTGTTGTCTCCAAAGTCATAGCTGGTGTGATTAAAAGTCAGGTGGTCTGGAAACAAAATCCTTGCATGCTCCAGCTAAGTTTAGGCCATTGGGAAGAGTGGATAGTGAAGATTCCACACTGCTTTTGTGCCAACTACTTCTGTAAAATATGCAAACACTAATGTGGAATTATGCAAAGAGCGTACCCTGAAAACCTATGTTCTTGCTGGCAACTCTGCTTGTACACTCAAGAGGCAAAACAAAACTCTGCTTCAATGTGTATTCATTATGGAGCCAATTCAGTACAATTCACTAGCAGTTTTTAAAGCCAAAGGAAATTTGTATTGCAGCCAAACTTGGCCCTTTTTATTCAAGTTGCCCAGTTAGGCAGTGAAGATGACTTGCAAGATCTTATTTCTAGTTTCACTAACAGTGTGCACTATTGAAACGCCACTCAAGTACTGTAGAGTGCTAGGAACACCCACACATACAAAGAGATAAAGCACCCTGAGATCTTAAATCAACAAGTTAATTTCTCCTCTCACACTAGTGAGCCAAGGGTAGCTCCATTAAAAGTCAAAGAGGAGAATCAGACCTTGTAGGTCCCCAGGCACATTATACCAGCTGGAAAGAAAGGCTATTTAGAGTTCATTTCTGCTTACCAAACACTTTTTAAGAGTGAAGCATTTTCAGCATTACTGCTGGGGGAGTGGAAGCCCTTCCCAGCATTGGCCCTTCCATAGTCACACAATCGGCAAAAACAAAAATCGCAGACATTATCCTTGATTTTCAAAATCAGCTCTAAGGGCATGATTTATGTGTTCCAAACAGTTCTTCAAAGAACGGTACCATTATTTACAGCAATATCTGCTGTGTGCAAATCAGAAGATCACAAAGGATGCAATTAACGACAAAGAGAACATATTACACCTTTCTGGCTAATTAACATTTAGCAACATTGCGCATAATTTGTAAGCAAAATTTAATATCGTGGCAATTTATTGTTTGTGAAGAACAAACAGCAGCAGCAGCGTAATTATCAAATATTTGTGATTTGGTGTAGCTTTAGTTGTACTATGCTTTATTACCACAGGACTAGAAAGTTTGCCCTATTTAAAACAAACAAAACAAACAAACAACCCCCTTTATGGGCCAAGTCACAAAATTCAGACAGATTCCAAATACCACAACTCTCAGGGTGTTCAGATCTAGGATGTTGCTACTAATAAGCCAGCTAGATTATTCAGAGAAAGCAAAGTTCTGTGGTGTTTAGAACTAGGGAGTTGTTCTAGGCCCGTCTCCATTAGACACATGAGGAGAAACAGGTATCCAAAGCTGGGAGATAGTAGGGTATAATATTCATGTAAGCCGATATTGTTCCAGTAACAAAATAAATATAACCACTAGTCTCTATGCCAGTGGTAAGTCTCTCGAACTGGAGTATCTCTCATTGTCAATACTTCACTGAATTATTACTTTGGAGATTATGAAAAGGTCTCTAAGTGTGTACATGGCAGTACGTTTTCTAGAGGAAGACATGTGAAAGCCCCTGAATCAGCTCAGATAATGCATTCTTTAATGACTAGAAAGGACTACTTTAACTTTGTACCAAACCCAGAATTTGATTTCAATCTGCAGAGACTCTTGAAATCTAATACTCAAACATTTGAGGCTAGGTGGTAAGTTAAGGAAGGTTCCCATATGAGTCACTTTCTTTAAAATGTGGTGTGGTTCCGGACATTCTAACTTGTGTCAGTCTGCAGCATATCATGCTGTACAAGGAGCATACGCCAAGACTACTCTCCACATTAGAACAGTGACTTTAGTCTTAAGAGACCTGCAACAGAGTTAAAGAGAAGTATTTCTGCTCTTTTGCTTCTTTATAATGCATTAACACCTGGAAATGTTTTACCGGATATTTCTAGTGTCAAAAACAGGGAGAGCAAAGGGTAAAACCCTAGCCCCGTTAAAGTCAATGGCAAAACTCCCAGGATTCCACCTGAAGTGGGTCCAGGATTTCACCTGAAGTCTCAACTTCAATGGTTTTGGCTGAGGCCAGCTCTACACTACAGACCTATAACGGTATAACTACACCTCTCAGGGGTGTGAAAAATCCACACCCCTGAGCGACGCAGTTATACCAACCTAACCCCCCGGGTAAACAGAATTATGTCAATGCGAGAGCTTCTCCTGCCAACATAGGGAGGTGGATGAACTCCGCCAATGGAAGAAGCTCTCCCATTGATGTAGTTGCATCTTCACTAAAGCGCTATAGTGGGGCAGCTGCACCGGTCTAACTGTGCCGCTGTAATGCTGTACATGAAGACGAGCCCTGTGAGACTCTTTTGGAAGACGGAGCTGTGTCAAGACATCAAGAGGGACAAGACTTAAAACTGAGCTTCTGTGAGACAAAGTTTTTAAGACAACCTAAAACTGTTTTCTTTTTGATCTACATAGATTCCTAGCCATGCTTGGGATAAAAAGGTCCCCTTGGTGACCGATTCAATACCTCCACTCTACGACTGATGACTGAGAAATTTTCCACTCCAGTTCTTTGGTCATCCATAGGGTTACCATATCTAACAAATAAAAAAAGAGGACCCTCCACGGGCCCTGGCCCCACCCATTTCCCCACCCTAACTCCGCCCCCTCCTCCCTCCCACTCCCAGCCACGCGGAAAGGGCTGCCACCGGCTTCACGGTTTGCCGGGCAGCCCCCAGACCCTGTGCCCCCGGCCGGCGCTTCCCCAGCGCAGCTGGAGCCCGTGAAGCCGGTAGCAAACCGTGAAGCCGGTAGCGCTTGGGCTTCGGGCAGCCGGCTTGCCTCCGGACCCTGCGCCTCCAGCCGGGCACTTCCCCTCCCGGGCTCTGGCGGCGCAGGGTCCGGAGGCATGGGGGCTGCCCAAAGCCGGTAGCGCTCGGCTCTTAA